AGAAGCTTCTTTGAAATCGAGTGAAACCACCATTTGGTCGGCAATAGGTGTGACGCCGCTCAAGTGCTTGACGTAATGTAAGGATATGGCCTATGCGTCCACTACCTGGTCAAATCATCTGGTGCTCTGGGACAGGTTTCTCGCGTGATTACGAAAGACTTCGCCACACTGCTGAGGCTAGTAGCTGCGCTACAACTGAATTAACCCCATGGTTGAGTAATTTTCCTCGCATAAAGGTACAGTGATTGGCTCCATATCGTCGGAACGCGATCTTGTTCCTAGATTGATTTAACCCAGTAAGAGCAAGACACAAACTCACTACCGTCTATGAACAGCGCTGGTGCTCGCTTATCTGCAGCAACCATCCGATTACGCTTCACGACAATTCAGAAACTGAGGGAGGATCTATACCCACAGTCGACAGCTCGAATTGGGTGGATCGAATAAGACATGGTGCAAAGGGCGACGGCGATTCAGGGAGAAGGCAGTGAAGGGCGCAACTTAGTTCATTGGCAATGGCTCTCACAATTCGTCGCCAAATCGTTGATTGACCTCTCCTGGATCGTTTTCACCCTCCACGTGGTTCTGCGAAAAGGGCTCTTCGAGGAATTCGGTCAACTGGCAAATGGAGCACGTGACTAAGCCAGTGCATTCCATTGCATGTGATCAGTTCATCCATCGTAGACGAGTTATTTTTTCTGAAAATCATACGACCTTTCTTCGGCGTCGTTGATCGGATGTTCTCACCAGACAGACAAGATAACCATCCGATCCGATGAAAAACGAGATGAACTTATATGGCTGCTATCGGTGCACGCTTAGGTTAACCCAAGTTCGAGATGCCTCCGCGGTTAAAGTGCAAAAATACTGCACGCAAGGTTCGTGGTTCGAACCCAAACTATGCATGTCAACCACCCCCATCTATGCTTGGTCAAATAAGCTCTTTGTATTCCCAGACTTCCGGACGCGTAAGAGTATACGGCGAGATGGCCCAAGTGGTTAGAGCGCGAATTTACTGACCGGAAGGTTCGTGGTTCGAACCCGACCTCCGCCACTCGACTTCCCCTGTCTAGGTTTGAGCAACCTGGCAGTATCCCAGCGCTCATGCTTCCTTCGGGTGGCATGGCAGCGGAACATAAGATGTTTGTCACTCCAGCAAACAGGAATTGCCTCCACTGGAGCGTGTCCAACAACCGGCTTCAACCGCCCCACAATCCGAATTACCCGGTGTTCCTTCATCCACCGAATTCAGTCACATCTATATATCGGAGGCGTAACACCAGGTGGAAGACCTTAAGGGGGAGCTGGGGGTGAGAATATGTCCAGCGATAAACAGCATAGAATATCCAAGAAAGCTAATCTGACAAAGCAGGCTGTGCTTACACTCATCAGTCACTCTGTCGACCCACATGCGTAATGCATGGGACAAACTTCCATAGGCGATCGGAGTAGCTCCTGATGAGGCGTATTCCAAGAGGCCAATGCATCTGCGGTCGTGATCGTCATCATTAATACCACTGGCAGCAATACCAGAGGAAAATGCCGGTCCTTCACCACCGTAAAACAATTTATTTGAATAAGAACTCATAATGAAAAGTAGAAATGCGACCTAGGCTGCATGGGCGACTTAGGCTGCCTACACCTCCAAAATTTAATCCGCCACTCGGAATGGAAACGGACATCATGAACACCGCTGACATATGCTAGACGCAATTTCGTTCAGTATCTACAGCAATAACTAACGAAATATAATACAATTGTTCAGCTGTAACACCATTTCGGCGTCTAGCTCACCTGAAGGAAGTACGACGGCTTGGATGCTACCAGACTGCCTAAGCCTAGACTGCAGCGACTCAGACGCAGAATTTTCGTTCGAACGCCTTAGCCAATGAGAGATCTCGTGCTCGTCTCCAGTCAAGCACAGAAGGCCACGTCGACCCCATCCTGGAAGGCAAACGGCACCAACAGCACCCGACAACAGCCTTCATTCCCTTCTGCTACGTCAGATCCTATCCACCTCTAGGTTTGCACCACTCCAAATGAGGTAGGGAGAACAACGTTCTTGCTGGTCGGCAGCAAGTTGGCATGTGTAACACACGATTCATCCACAAGGCTTGAAATACTGGATGCATTCTTTGAATGAAATACCGTCTGTCCCACCTAAAACCCATCTCCTGATCACCTCATTCCAAATTCGTGTGTTTCAACCGATTCCTGTTACCGTTTCCGGGCATCGATGGCCAGAAACCGGAAAGTGTCTCAGATCCTCCGCTCAAAGTAGCCAAACTGGCAGCTAGAGGCCCATACACCCCGCGTTGAGAATCAGCGATATACCCTCCTAAGCCAAGCGTGAATCGGACCTTCGAGACGCGTGAGTTGACTTCGTTTGTCATACTTCCATCAGAGTTAATGCAACTCCCACATATGTATAGAGTTCACAACTTCCAGTGTCACTTTCAATTCTCAGAAGCACAAAGACGTACATGACTTTGCATGAAACATATGCCAAAGGCTTGAATAATCTTAGTGAACCTTTTTTCACAAGCGAGAAGAATGTCGTATGCATACTTCAGGTCGAAGAGTCCCCTTTCGGAGAGATGGGAACACCGAGATTTTGAGAGTTTTCACAAGCAGCCTCATTAACTTAAAGAATTTATAAATGGAGGAAGTGGACAGCGCACTCACCCATATAATCTACGCAACAGAGAGGCGTAAACGACTCCATGTAACTATTACAGCTTTTTATTTTTTTACATTCTTTCTCCGCAAAGTACACACTTATTCCAAGGCGGGGAGAATGTCATGACTATATAACCCATACATTTGCATAACCCATTAACTCGTGATTCTCACTCTATTTTCAGCTCATGTACTACAGTTATTAGACGATTAAAGCGTACATTACGTCTTCCTATTCTGTCTCCTTTCTAATCCCGTCCTGGAACTACTCGACTCTCGCAACAATACCCCTGTCAGATATCACTACTTGTAGGAAGGTTTTGGAGCTTCCCACACATTCTCCCGTGCTCATAATTGTGAATACAAGAACTGTGTGACGATCATGAACCTGTGAGGTATATCCTGTTGTGCAAGCGTTCTAAGAACGAGAAAGTCGACAGAAGTCGACGGTAGCCAACACACACAAAAATTGTAAGGCAACTGGACACATGCTGTTACTCTAACAGTTGATAGTGTGAGGATGTGGTTCACACAACCCTGTCCCGAACGGAACCGTTTACCGTTCTCCGGTCTTCATCTTTACACGCCTTCTTAATATGACGTAAAATGAGCGACACAGAGTGAATATACAACGGGGACCAAGCTAATTCCTGTATGATCGTTCCACTCAGACCGAGCACCCTTTATGAAATGACCACATCTATCGACTCAATCTAGTTGGTTGGGATGGGTACTGCCCAAGTAAAGGAAAATAATGTAGACAAGCTCCGAATGGAGATTTCGTTTTCGCCCTCGAACAAAACGGTATTGCGTCAGCACCAGCGACTCAGTGAATTTTGAGGGTCATAAGGAATCTGCTTATTTCCGAAGCCGTACGAGGTCCAAGTGCACTGCCAAGAGATGCGTTTGGGTCGGCAATCTGTAGTTAGTCAGTAGAACTGCTACTGAAAGTGCTTAGTCCAAATTAGAGAGGCGTTTGTCTTTATTTGTAGGTAAGCAAAGCGTCGCCATTAGTAATTCTTCGTTTACCGGAGACTTGTTTTCCCCCGTTGCATGTGTCAGCTGGAACAGTTTGCAAAGTCGCCCAATTTCTCACCTCATCCATCTCTTCACCTTTCTGGACTCGTGGTGACTCTCGATCCGCGAAAGTGTTTGGTTTCACTTGATGTCCAACAGATCGTCGACTGGCATTGTATTCTTGATCAAGAGTAAGCGTTCTAGCTTCGAGTAACTTTAGAGTCACTCGAGATCCAGTGCCTAGATTTATTTGGTTTCATCGTTCCACAGACGCAATGCCCAAAATCATACAGGGTTGTGGACAGTACCTCCAATCAAGTGTCAACAACGGAAAACATATTGTCTTAAAAGGATCTCAGCAGATGGTTTCGGTGCGTTCACTACACACTAGGATCCTAGAACCTCTCAAAGACCGGGCGATACGCCCATTTTGCAAATCCCCGAAAAGCACGAACAGAAGCAGCAACGGGCGAGCGCGTTATTAGGATCCACATACACGTCCCGGAAACGGCGACAGTCATTAATTAAGCCACACCACCTGTAGCTAATGGCCATTCTGTTTATCCGGCTCGTATGCTTCAAGGGTTTCCGAAATTCAGTGGGGCCCAGAAAGCAACTTGCGCATTCCCAACCCAGACAGCCATAACATCTGATCTCTTAGGTTACGTTAAAAAAGCGCTCAAGGCGTAGTACAAGCCGTTTGAGAGTACCCATACTTAAGTCTGCTGTGGTTTAAGCAGATATGATGAACATACAACGAAAATGGGCACATGAAACAGTGTCCCCTCGATAAAGTGTGAATACGTTGAGGCCAGTATAGTAAAATTTTAACATCAAATGGTAATGTTTCGCGGACTGCCGGGAAAGGTGATTCAATACATAACGGCATCTTATCAATCATCCGATATTACCACATTCCATCGTCAGCCAGCATAAGAACGTCTTATAGCATATTCCTCAGCAAGCAGCAATGAAGACCAGAAGAGGAGAGGTATTGGAACTAGAATTTGCAAAATTCCACAAGTGTCCGGAATCAGATAAGATCATTCTGCTTGTTAGCAGGGTAAGGCTTTGAACCTGAGCATGTATGTTTCAGGTGGATTAGATATGTCCTATACAGTGGTATTCCAGCTCGGCGGTTACCAACACAGCTGCCACTTCAATGAACTCTAATCCTTATGGTAGTTTGGATTTATAGCATAAACTACTAAGCGCCTAGTGGATAGCCAAACACATGCACCTACGGATTGACTTGTACGGACTTGGGTGAATAATTAAATCGATGATAGTGAAGTACTCCGTACCTTATGCGCGTTTGAAACAGCATCTGCTTCGACACACAATCCCTTCCATGCTGATGCACCTGAGCCGTATTCCAGCCCTGAGTCAAGAAAACTCAGCCATTTCGAGGACCAGCGCTTCAAATTTGCGGCGTACGCTCTCTCCACTTCTGCCCGCTCTTGAATCATCTGAGCAAGCTCGTTACATAGTTTGTTGGAAGTCTCCACGCGCCTGACTGTGCGCTGGTACTCCCTACATTCCCAGAAACTGGGGACTGTGGACAACTCAGTGCCCTCAAGATCAACCGATCCAACCATCTGCGCGGAAAACGAAAACCGCGGCACAAAATTCTCGCGCCAATCAACTCGACCGCGTCAGTCCCAATGACCTACTATGCTGAATTGCCTTAGTGTATTCGTTCAGATTTGGAAGCCGGATGCAGCTGGACTCTGATCACTTGAGAAGATCTAATTCATTCTTCTGCGAGATTTAGGGAGACCTGGGCACTGCAGCAGGAGTGGGTTAGAGAATGAGTTTGGGTTTGCCACCAGATCGAAAATAATACATGGAGAGTTCGACTGGAAGTTTATTTCCGCTGAGGACGGCCGGATTGGGGAGAAACTCTTGGAACATCTGCTTAGAGTATCCTTGTTGGAGAAACTCCAGGCCATAACTAAAACAGATGATGATGGGAGAAAAGGTGAAGAATCAGTCGTGCAAAGCAGATCGGGGGGTCGCTGGTGAAATAGTCCACGACCGTCCTGCTTTTGAGAGGGAACAGATTCGAAATTACAAAAACGTGTAACTGTTAGTAGAAGCAGTGGCCTATTCGGTGATGGCACGCCTAACGCCTCTAAGCACGCTTTCTTCGCGTTTTGGTGGTAGCAGCCAAAAAGCGCTGCAGTGTCCAAGCAAATAGATTGTGGCTTTGAGCGTACCGAAGTTGCGCGTTTATGGTTCGCGCAAACAGGTCTAGAGATCAACAGTACTCATCGGCGTCTGAGTAAAATTGACGAACTCAAGGATTCAGGCTTCTGCCCAAGCTTCTCGGGCCAATTTTATTCTTCCCGTTCAGCGGATGTCGTTCAATTGAAAGGCACAAGTGAAAAAGGAATACTGCTTCGCGTTTATGGTTCGCGCAAACAGGTCTAGAGATCAACAGTACTCATCGGCGTCTGAGTAAAATTGACGAACTCAAGGATTCAGGCTTCTGCCCAAGCTTCTCGGGCCAATTTTATTCTTCCCGTTCAGCGGATGTCGTTCAATTGAAAGGCACAAGTGAAAAAGGGTGTAATACTGCTTTTTATGTTCACAGCGCGGGGCAATAAGCGCGAACACTCGCATTAAATAGTGTCTAATAGTGCTTTAAATTGGGTTCCAGAAAGAGCGTGGACAACCGTCGGAGAAAGGGTATTCCACACAGCTACTACTCCAAATGAGGAAACACTTTGCCCAATGAGTGTGTGCGCTCTGAGCTTCAAAATCTTATCATGTCCCCGCCGTGTTTGCTGGGTCAACAGTGAAAAAAAACTGCTGGCCAAGTTTTGTTCAGACAGTGCATAGGTAAGCAGTCCACGGACTTGAGATTGACAACCATTTTCGTAGCGGCTCACTGGACACGCCAATGAGGTCAACGTCTTTCGTGCGTTCCCAGCAGGCAACTTTTTAGGCGTAATCCAGGAGCGGTCTGATGTAGGTCCCATACAGTATGTGGAAGTCAGTGCCAGTAATACGGGAGATGGTGCGCCGAATCATCGGAAAATTGGAGAATATTTTTTGGGCTGATTTCTCGTGCTGCAGTGAGAAGGACAGGTTTGAGGAGAGGCCACCAGCATCGAAAATCCAGGATTTCAAGGCGTCCGCAACAGGGAGACGTGGATTTGCAAGGACATCTGAGAGGGCGTTGACGTATATCGAAAACACAAGTGGTCCCAGAACGGAGCCTTGGGGAACTCCAACGGAGACCGGCGCTGTAGAAGAGCAGGTAGAACCTGCCTTCACTCAGAATGATCTGTCTGATAGGAAAGGCCTGATCCAGTATACGATTTGCCTTTGAATCCCGTGAGTCTCGAGTTTGTGTAGCAGCTGGACGTATGGAACCCTATCAAACGCTTTTGAGAAGTCGAAAAATATAGCATCCGATATGAGTCCTTCGTCCTTGGCTTGGGTTAAGCTGCCAATAAACACGAGAATGTTTGTCACACAAAAGCGGTTTGGGAGAAATCAATATCTGGCTGGACATATCAAGTTGTCGGAGGTAATGTTACCTAAGAAAGCTCGCTTCAGAATGCGTTCCATCACCTTGCACGGCAAGCTAGTGAGGCTTACAAGCCTTTAGCTGCCAGGCGATAGTCGGTCACCAGTTTCGTAGATTAGTGATAATCTCTTCATTCCAAGAAGAGGGTAGGCGGATTTCGTCAGATGACTGGCGAAACACCGGGTGTAAACGATTTGCAAGTGGGTACGACGTTTCTTTTAGGATATTTGGATGGTTCGCGTCGGGCTTCAACGCGCAGAATGGGTTGATCTTGTGCAAGAGATAGGGAATGTCTCTCACCGTGAAGACCAAATCGGTTAGAGGGTGTTCGAAGCTACGCCTTGACAAGGGTGGATGTGATGGGGACGCTGAATATAGACCCGCATAGTGTTCTCTGTAAACCACAGATATCATTGTTGGGTCACTCGTGGGTTCTCCGTTCCTGTCCCTCAAGGAGAACGCGGCTGGCTTATTTCTGCAGCAGTCTAATGTATCTGAGCAGCACATTTATGTTTTTCCGGGTGTGGCGGATTTTTCGCATGTTCAATTGGCGGATCTCTGATTTACAGCGGTTCCGCATTTTACGAAACGTCAGGTATTCTTCCCGTCCCCGGTAGTCAACTTTTTTTTAAAAAAATATTTGTGCTCTAATTCCCAGAAGACGCCAAGTCCTCATAGGCAACCTGCGGCTAATCCGACGTCGTGCCGGTTTTTTGGGACGAACACCGCCTCAGTCCCGTGAACTTTCTGGGCAAGACCCTATATGAGTTTTCCACTAAAGCTGGTCCAGTTTAACTTATTCAAGAGAGATGCGCATTCCTGAGAAGTCTGCACGACAGAAGCATCGTATCCACGTTTGAGGTTCGGGATCTCTGGCCCAATGGCGGATGAAATCAAAGGTCAGACACAGGGATCGCTGTCTCCCAGTAGAGCGTTAATTATTACCTCATCAACAATGTGTTTTTTTGTTGGCGATGACCGAATCCGGGAGGGTTGATAGTTGGCCTGCGCTGTGCCCAGTGTTTGTAGCGACATGCCGGGTTCAAGCACTCTGTTGAACAACTTCAGCAAGCGCCGCTGTAAAACGTTTGCATGATTATACGCTTGAGGTCCGTCCAGTCAGTCTTGGGGGCTTTGAAGTCACCCACCTTTGGCACATGAGTGAAGTCGTAGCTGGAGGAGAATTGCTCAAAGGTTCGTATGAGGAACTGATCACCTTTGGGGAAATCGAAGTGCTAAGGTAAACCATAACGAGAAGGAGAAAATCGGACTCGCGCAGCGGGAATTTGATATGCAGGGCATCGCAAAAAGGCGCAGGAGTGGCATCAAAGTGGACAATCGGGACTGGCCGGACTGCGATGAGGCAGCTGTCTGTAATTTGAGGCTCTTACGGTGCCCACCGTTTGCGATAGCTCTAACTGTGCCATTTGCGGTACCACGTCAAAATATAGAAAATGACATCGCGATGCTGTGTCAGATGTTTTGACGGTTCACAAAAGAAAGGAAACTGAGAATGTCTATCCACTGGTTCAAGTGCAGATTGATCTTTGAACCGTATTTCAGGCAGTCAACATACGAAGTGTGCTATTCACTCCATAAAAGAAAGATTCAGCTGTGTAATAAAATCCAGAGCATTTTTGGTTTCACCCCGAGAGTCACTGTCTGTGAGTTTGCTGAGCGGCCGGAGTGTGCTCCGTAGGCTCTTCGAAGGGACAATTTTGATGCGTGGGTCGATATCCCTTGTATTAAGGGACCTCAGTTCTTCTACTGTTCTCAACGTGGCATTTTGTTAAAGCTACTGAAAAATGAAATATACGGTCTTTCTTAAATTCCCCCCCCCACTCACAACAAGGGTCATGGAACTTCAGCAAGCGCCGCTGTAAAACGTTTGCATGATTATACGCTTGAGGTCCGTCCAGTCAGTCTTGGGGGCTTTGAAGTCACCCACCTTTGGCACATGAGTGAAGTCGTAGCTGGAGGAGAATTGCTCAAAGGTTCGTATGAGGAACTGATCACCTTTGGGGAAATCGAAGTGCTAAGGTAGACCATAACGAGAAGGAGAAAATCGGACTCGCGCAGCGGGAATTTGATATGCAGGGCATCGCAAAAAGGCGCAGGAGTGGCATCAAAGTGGACAATCGGGACTGGCCGGACTGCGATGAGGCAGCTGTCTGTAATTTGAGGCTCTTACGGTGCCCACCGTTTGCGATAGCTCTAACTGTGCCATTTGCGGTACCACGTCAAAATATAGAAAATGACATCGCGATGCTGTGTCAGATGTTTTGAGGGTTCACAAAAGAAAGGAAACTGAGAATGTCTATCCACTGGTTCAAGTGCAGATTGATCTTTGAACCGTATTTCAGGCAGTCAACATACGAAGTGTGCTATTCACTCCATAAAAGAAAGATTCAGCTGTGTAATAAAATCCAGAGCATTTTTGGTTTCACGCCGAGAGTCACTGTCTGTGAGTTTGCTGAGCGGCCGGAGTGTGCTCCGTAGGCTCTTCGAAGGGACAATTTTGATGCGTGGGTCGATATCCCTTGTATTAAGGGACCTCAGTTCTTCTACTGTTCTCAACGTGGCATTTTGTTAAAGCTGCTGAAAAATGAAATATACGGTCTTTCTTAAATTCCCCCCCCCACTCACAACATAGGGTCATGGTGGAACTGCTGTTGGATCGGCGAGACAAGAACGTGTAAAGAATGTAGGAAGTGGTGCGCTGTATTTATGGGGTCTTACACTGATTGTAAGGGTATAACATCATGACCTGTCCTGGGCGATAGTTGCCTGGATCCTGGTTTTCTTTCCTGTTCGAATGTAAGTTGATTTTACCTCGTTTTTGTTAAAAGCGGAACCGTCAAAGCGGATACTGAAGGATACACCAGGTGTGGTTTTCTATCGATGTAAAACAGCACTGATTCACACGTGTTCCTATTAAGCGTCTACATCTAACCCCACTCTAGTACTTCTGCTGTGAGGTGATGTTCTTACCTGGACGCGGCAACGGACTGGCAGGCTTCACTGAATGGGAATACATCACACATCGCCCAGCCATTCCAGCTAGGCCAACGGATAGCATCTTATTCGCCGCCATTCCTTTCATCTACATCACACAGGCAGCCCGTGACAAATTTTCAAGCCTTCACACTTATTTCTGGGATGTCGGACGGCAAAAACTACCTAGAGTACTGTAAGATGCCACCTGGGGGATTTACAACGAAAGTGAATAAGGCGCGCATTTGATCGCACTTACACAGCTAAATTCCGATAAAAATAATTTTATTCTCTATCTACCTCCCTGTAAGAATATGCGCGATAACTGTGAAAAAACACCACTTTGCGGGTGTCTATTGAGCAACCGGTGTTGTTCAGTACGAGGGTTGTGCCTCTTGGTCACACGACTATTGCAGCCGTCTCACTGCAGGACACTATGACAGAGCGTCGGAAACGTCTAGGGGAAAGCAATGCGTTGTCTGTAACTGACGTCCACATCCAAGCGTATGTCTATCCTGCGAACAAACTTCAGCTCCAGAGGCCATCACGACCGCAAACTCAGCCAACGATCCACTTTCTGTTTCTCGTAACATCCCTGGCTACAACTACCCAAGCCTCCCTTGAGCAGCGTTCCTGAAATTAGATAGCTTCGGGGAACCAGTGATTTCTCATTTGCCAACAATTCATGACACGTCTCCATCATGGATTAACGGTTTGCTACACAGGATGAAGACTTACGTCCAAGGTTCCCAGGTACGTTTTGCTCTTGTCCCTCAACGGCTGCCGTTTTCCTGAAAGTCACAAGCAAAAAGGGTAAAGCATCGCTCTTTAAGTTCGCAGCGCGGGACAGTAAGCTTGCCTTCGTCAGAGCTCAACTGGACAGACTTGCAAATGTGTCATAAACTGGGTAATGAGTGTAGAGCTAACAAAAGAAGGTTATTCCACACACGAACAACCGAAACGAGAAAATTGTTGATTACTAAATGCGAGCGCTCTAAACTAGAAAAGCTCCTTGCCATGGACCCACCGGGTGTTTGTCAGGTAAACAGTGAAAAGACTTCTACGGTGCCTTATTAAAATAGGGCGTAAGTAATTATTAAGTCTCCTCTGAGGCGGCGGTAACTCATGTGACAAGGGTCAAGAACCACAAGGCGCGCTTCATGGTACAAGGATTGGGAGATCGACGACAACTTATGTAGCAACTTACTTAATATCCTTAATGAGAGTTGCTTCTTTTCTTCGTCATGAGCAGCCAAGTTTTTTGGCATATTCACGAAGTGAATACAGTATTTGGAAATCCATGCAACTAACACGGGATATTTTACAAGCTTTTTCATCCACACCACCTTCCCAGGATTGGGGCGACTTCTTCCTGTCGAGAAACACACCGCGTCAGTGACATCTTTTACCAAATTCTTACTGAGTGCTGCTCACCTTGTTTCTCCTGCAAGGCGTTTTTACGCCAATTAACCTGGCCACGATAGGTTATTAAAAACCTTGGATGCCAAAATAAAGCGGGCTAGTAAAGAATATCGGAACTCTTAGGATTTCTCACTAATAATTCCCATCAACGAACTCTCTGGCGACCGAGAGTTCTTGCGGGTATCTCTCGAACGCCGAGAAGAGAACACGGTCCTCAGACTTCCTTCCCAATCCAAATTACTCAGCCGACTGTTCCATAGGCGTTGTGCCCTAAACAGCTACTCAGTTGCTTCTTTGCGTTCAACGGACAGTGGCCCCATCACTGATCCTGTCAACATAGCAGACCATCTGAACGCTTACCTCGCCAGTTGCTAATCCCCCTTTACTCCCAACTCCAAACCTATACCCATTGCTGTTTACCTCCAAAGTGTGAATGGTCAGGGTAACCATCCGACTCTCAGTAACATAACCACACCCTAGCTGATGTTTCTTCCCTTCTTCTGAAGATTAAGGACTCTGTTGTGGCAGTGGCCGATGGCATTCCACCCCGTATTCTGAGACAAGGCGGCCGATATAAAGGAATCCTTGTATTAAATATTTTCACCCACTCTATAATCTATGGAATGGTCTCCTCCCAGTGGAAGAAATCTCTAAAGTTTTTTGGCATATTCACGAAGTGAATACAGTATTTGGAAATCCATGCAACTAACACGGGATATTTTACAAGCTTTTTCATCCACACCACCTTCCCAGGATTGGGGCGACTTCTTCCTGTCGAGAAACACACCGCGTCAGTGACATCTTTTACCAAATTCTTACTGAGTGCTGCTCACCTTGTTTCTCCTGCAAGGCGTTTTTACGCCAATTAACCTGGCCACGATAGGTTATTAAAAACCTTGGATGCCAAAATAAAGCGGGCTAGTAAAGAATATCGGAACTCTTAGGATTTCTCACTAATAATTCCCATCAACGAACTCTCTGGCGACCGAGAGTTCTTGCGGGTATCTCTCGAACGCCGAGAAGAGAACACGGTCCTCAGACTTCCTTCCCAATCCAAATTACTCAGCCGACTGTTCCATAGGCGTTGTGCCCTAAACAGCTACTCAGTTGCTTCTTTGCGTTCAACGGACAGTGGCCCCATCACTGATCCTGTCAACATAGCAGACCATCTGAACGCTTACCTCGCCAGTTGCTAATCCCCCTTTACTCCCAACTCCAAACCTATACCCATTGCTGTTTACCTCCAAAGTGTGAATGGTCAGGGTAACCATCCGACTCTCAGTAACATAACCACACCCTAGCTGATGTTTCTTCCCTTCTTCTGAAGATTAAGGACTCTGTTGTGGCAGTGGCCGATGGCATTCCACCCCGTATTCTGAGACAAGGCGGCCGATATAAAGGAATCCTTGTATTAAATATTTTCACCCACTCTATAATCTATGGAATGGTCTCCTCCCAGTGGAAGAAATCTCTAATACACCCGCATTTTAAATCCGGATGTAGACAAACTCCTTCCAAATACAGGGGAATCCCCCGTACCTCCCTCCTACTGAGAACCCTTGAACGTCTGGTCAAGGGCCCTTTAATCAGGTTTCTCCTAGCTGCAAGCGCCATAGATGGCCGACAGTACGGATTCCTATCTCAAAGATCCGTAAATGACTGCCAGCTTCACTTCTTTGAGACCGTCACAGCAGCCTACGACGCTGGATACCCCATTGTAACAGTCTATCCGGACATTCAAAAAGCCTTCGACCAGGTCCCCCATTCCTCCCTGCTACACAAACTTAGTACCGTGGGCATCAACGGAACCTTATTGCAGCGATTCGCCTCCTGCTTATCAGACAGGAGGCAAATAACGCAAATTGGAGACATACAATCATCTCCACTACCGATCACTAGCGTAGTTATCCAAGGAAGCGTGCTAGCCCCCATCCTTTTCTTACTTTACATCAATGACATATTCGTCGCCATATCCCATGGTAAGGCTTTCCTCTTCGCGGACGATATGAAAATCGTGTACACATTCCCATCCTCTGAAAAGGCCCTCGCTTTTCACCAGATTAAGCAAGACTTAGATTCACTGACTCGCCGGTCAAGCGAATCTGGCCTAAGCTTCTCCTCTGCAAAATCCTGTATGACTTCCTGCCGCTGCTCTCTCCCGACTGTCGCTCTCACAATTAACGGAAACCCTATCGCATATTCCATGGAGATCAAAGATTTCGGCCTCCGATACTCCTGTACTTTTAGCTTTTCCCACCAGGTCCAATTTCAGGTAGCAAGAGCGCGCAGGCTCAGTTTTAATACTGCGCTCCTGCCACCTTCCAGACACAATGGTTGCAATAATTAAGCTATGCGTACGACCAATCGTGGAATTCTGCCCCGCATTCTCCTCCCTTTACACCCGAAGTTGCAGACTCGCAATTGAAAGTGTCCAGCGCTCATTCACGAAAAAGCTCTTTCCTCGGTCAAACCTCCTCTCTTACCGCTCCCGCTGTCAAATCCTACGCCACGAACCACCATGGCTTAGACGGTTCAAATTGAATCTAGCTCTCTTACACCGTCTGCAGCATAAGAACGCTTTTAAAGCAGAGGCTAGACCAAGTGTGAACCCACAACCTCGCTACAGACTCCGTAACTCCTGCAACTTCTTAGTGTCCCCCAGCTCATACAAACCTACGCCACTATCTCCTTCTGGTTTATTACGCTCGCATCTGGAACAGCCTTCCTGAGCAGCTGCGAAGCACCACACATCACCATGCTTTTTTCAGTCTGTAGACATATTCCTTACCAGTGAAACTGCTGCCGCCTTACTTAATACTCAACTACCCTCTGACCTCCTCTACGAATCAGGTCCAGTGCGCGTTTGAGTTTAGCGACGTTACAGTAAGTGGGGAAGTAAAGGATTCTGTTATCATTGCTTCCTATCCCCTTGACCCGCTTTAAGCTAATAAAGAACTTAAATGCCAACTGGATCTAAATATGCAGTGTTAATGGTCTGGTTGTTTTCTATTTCCCCAGTGAACTTATACCTCCTCCTAGTCAAGTCCCCACCCCGGGTTACTCTGTCAGTTCTGCCTGGCAACTGGTGCTCACAGTCTAGCTCTAACTGATAAAAACCAAACCAAAGTAGATTTTTTCTTCATCTCATTTTCAGAGCGCATTCTGCGCTCATATATATCCATTTGATAATTTGCCCCACAAAACACGCCCACATACAACATCGCGGAACGCTTCTGTTCGACATGGCAGCTAACACCAACGCTCCGACGCCGTTTAACCATGGTGCAATCGCCGTGAGTATCAATATTCCAGTCCTACCGTCTCATTGACAACTGTCATTCCACTTCTCCTCCGCGACTTGCCTCTATCAGCGTCTGTATGCTGTTTGCTTGTTCGAATCGACCGAGCTGTCTTTACTGACCTGGCTGTCTCCCGACCAAAAAATGGTTGCTGCAGTATATATTAATGCACCAACCGCACTTATGACTGCTTGGATGGTTTTCCACCTTGCAGATCTGGTAGCATGCACGAGGAAAAGAACCTCGCGTGGTGGACGGGTACGCCCTGCAGGGAGGGGTGCCTTGTTACGTTGCACCATGGTGCGTTCGTATACCCGCCACCGCTCCAGTAGCACGGGTGCATCGTCCATAGACGGGGGCTGTGGTT